ATTTTTGACGCATGTCCAGCAGGCTGGACATGCGTCAAAAATGACAATATTTGGTTTGATAACAGAGACTGTTAGATTGCTGACAGATTGACAGAACTCTCAACATCATAGATTTAGGCACCAATTTAACTTCAATTTACTGGATGGGAAATGAATAAATATTGTATTCAGAATATTTTTTCTGATGTTTTCCACAGTATGTCATGTTTTACTTTCAGATTTTGGTAAATGGTGTTTATTTCATGTCGCCTAACATAACATTTGTCCATGTTGTAATTCCATACTTTTCCACATTCCTCAATTTCTGGAGGATTTTAAAATCTAAATACAAAACTTCATTGTTGATACCAATGCCAGATAATTTTAGTGCTCAGACTTGAAATATTGAACATTTTAAGACAGAAACAAAGGAAGAAAACAAGAAGAAAGGAACAAAGAAATCAAGGAAGCAATGAAGGAAGGTTTGAGCAATAAATAAATTTATGGATTTACTAAGTATCAGTGGATGCACTGACAGATCAACAGATAGATGAGATGTGTAAGGAGGAATGGTTGGGTTGATGGCTGGTGAAATGAATGGATAGGCAATAGAAGGGAGGAATGGATAGAGGAACAAATAGATGATAGGTGGACAGAAGAATGGACTGATGGATGAATGTTAGGGAGAATCAGATGGGTGAAGTTTTAGAAATGGAAAGGGGAATGTTGAAGTTAATAATAGTATGGAGTTCTGTCAGTAAGACTTTTCATTCTGTGCAAGGTCAATGGCAGAAAATGCTGTATGTACTGGTAAAGGTGCTTTCCTGTCTGTAGATCTGAATGAAATGGGTCTGTTCAGACATTTCTCAGCAGATCCTCGTTACTCAAATAGAAAAAGTTGATTAGCTGCTGGAGAATATATAAAGAAGTCCTGAAATTGATTGGCTGCTGAGCTAAATTGAATTCAGATGGTTTAAAATGGTAAACAACACCAGAAACACGTTGGAGATAATGGAAAACTATTTCTTGAATAGACTGAAGATGATGGGAAACATTCAGTTAATGATCAGCTTCAGAGTAATCAGAGGGTTGTTGTTTTTTTTTTTGTTTTTTTCCTTTATTTATCCAGGTAAACCCCATTGAGATCTAGATCTCATTTTCAAGAGGGACTTGGGCAGAAGTCTGCAATACACAGTAACCTGGTTACAAAATAAAAACTAATACATATGCACAAATGTAAAACATAAAAAAAAAACAATTTAAAAACAATGACACTGTTTAGTAGTATATCGTTGCCCATTTTTAAGAATCGCTCGAAATAAGTCCAGTGAAACCAAATCAGACTGGAGCTGATTCCAGGTTGTAGGAGCCATCACACTGAAAGCTTGCTTCCCTTTTTCAGTTAGAAAACGTGGAACACGCAAAAGAAAAATGTTGTTGGAGTATAAAGAATGGAAATTAACAGATCTATGTAAGAGAGAGTTTAAGTATGCTGGAGCCAAGTCGAGTAGAGATTTATAAATCAGGATCATCAGGTGATTGTTTCTCCATACGCTTAAAGGAGGCAATTTAGCATTTGCCTACAACTCACAATGATGTGTGAGACGTCTGCTACCTGTTACGTACCTTAAAGCACAATGATGCACAGTATTTAATGATTGAAGGCATTTGGTCGAAGCATTCATATATAAAACATCACCATAATCTAGGAGTGGCAGGAATGTTGCAGCTACCAATTTACTTCTAGCTTTGAGAGAGAAACAAGATCCATTTTGGTAATAAAACCCAATCTTCATTTTCAATCTTCATAACAAATTTGCCATGTGATTTTTTTTAAAAAGAAACTATCTAAAATAAAGAGAGGATTTTTATAATTACTGACAAACTCAATTTGTGCTCCTATAGCAGTTGTGAGCAATAAAGGGATTTCTGGTAGTTTTCTAGAGTGTGAAAAAACCATTGCTTTTGTCTTATCCACATCCAAAACCAACTTCAGAGTTTGTAAGCGGCTTAGAACTACATTAAAAGCAGACTGCAAATACTGAATTGACTGTGAAAGTGATGAAGAATAGCGGTAAGTTACTAAATCATCTGCATAAAAATGATAAAAAGCATTTGACATATTTTCACACAAGTTATTTATATAAATGGAGAATAAAAGTGGGCCTAGAACTGAGCCCTGTCGGACACAAATAGTACGAATAGAAGAAGTAAAGCCAGCCAATTGAACTCTCTGGGTTCTGTTCGACAAGTAATCAGCTACAGACATGGTAGCTTGATGTGAGAACACAATCCTGTTTAAAATATCAATTAAAAGCGTGTGATTTACTTTGTCAAATGCCTTTGATAGATCAGTAAGCAGAGCAACACAATGTTTTTTATCAAGAGCCTAAATAAGATAATTAAAAACCTTTAAAGTGGCAGTAACAGCACTATGTTTTTTCCTAAAAACAGACTGTACTTTTTGTAAAACACAATTTGAATCTAAAAAGATCTTCAATTGATCTGCAACTAATTTTTCAAAACTTTTTGCTAGAATACATTGTTTAGAAATTGGTCTGTAATTGTTTACCTGTGACAACTCTCCACCCTTGAATAGAGGCAAAACAAATGCTGATTTCCAGACACTAGGAATTTTGTTAGAGATTAGACTTGGATTAAAAATATGAGACAATGGCTCTGCTATAAACTCTGGAGCCAATTTTAGAAAAAAAGGATCCAGGATATGGATCCTTGCCGATTTTTTGGTGTCTATGTTTTTCAATTCTCTGTGAACCTCAGCTGTACAAATAGGGGAAAAATTAAAAGTGGTGTATTCAAAAACAACTCATTAGTATTTACATTTATATTTAGGCCGAATTAATTTAAGTAATCAAATAGAGAGCCTACAGCAGGGGCGGGCAACTCCAGGCCTTGAGGGCCGGTCTCCTGCAACTTTTAGAAGTGTCTCAACTTCAACACACCTGAGTCAAATAATGAGGTCGTTAGCAGGACTCTGGAGAACTTGACTGCATTTAGGAGGTGATTCAGCTGTTGGATTCAAGTGTGTTGGACCAGGGAGACATCCAAGAGTTGCAGGACACCGTCCCTCGAGGACCAGGATTGCCCACCCCTGGCCTACAGCAATAAAATGCTCGTTAAAATAATTTAAAACTGCTAATTTATCAGACACCATTTTACTTTTATTCCAAACTAAATTTGGAAAGTCACTCAGTGGCGCCTGCTCAGTAGCTGATTTCACTGTTTTCCAAAAACAAAAAAATTTTTTGTCATCTCAGCAAGAAAATAATCTGACTTTGCTTTCTTAATTAATAAAGTACATTTATTCTGCAATTTTCTAAAACAGAGCCAGCTCTCCTCAGTATTGCTTTTCCTTGCCCTAGACCAAGCTGCATCTCTTTGTTTAAGCAGAGCCCCAATAGCTGGGGAAAACCATGGATTATTTTGTCCCTTCACCCTAATTTTACATATAGGAGCATGTTTATTTATTAGTCTTAAAAACTCTTAATGGAAATACTGCCAGGCAAGGTCAACATTATCAAAAAGAGAGACCCTATTCCAGTTAAAATGCAATAAGTCATGAACAAAAGCTTGCTCATTTAGGTGTTTTAAATTTCCTTTGGTCAAGATACGTGGCTTAGGTTTTGGTAACTTAAGATTTCTAACTGTACCTACAGCACAATGATCAGTAATGTTGTTTGCAAAAACTCCTATCCCTGTACATTTATGTCCAGGGTTTGTCAAAACAAGGAGTGATGATTTAGAGGACATTTGTTGTTAAGTCGGGTGGGGTAATTAATTAACTGGGTGATACTTAAAGAATCACAGACAGTTTTTAAGCTATCTGAGGATGCTGTCAACCAGTCTAGATTTAAATCTCCTAACAAAACTAATTCATTTTTATTTAGGTCGGCTAGATATTTGTACATATTAGGGAGTGCATCACAGACAGCAGAAAGTGGTCGATAACACCCTATAACTGTGATATGCTGAGCCTTAATGAATTAAATTTTCAAGGCTAGTAACTCAAATTGTTTTGGAATGGATACAGAAGATATAAGTGTAACATGGAAGTTGTTCTTTACATAGATGGCAACACTGCCACCTTTCCTAAGGTGATCACAACGAAAAACATTACAAACCTTCTGAGGAAATATTTTTATTGGTAATGGCATTGTTTAACCATATTTCAGTCAAAACTAAGATATCCATATTAGTAGTTTCAATCCAGATTTTAACCAGGTCTATCTTAGGCAATAAACTGCAAGTGTTAATATGTATTATACAAAGACCTGATCTGATTTTGAATTCTTCCGGTGTGTCAATGTTATTGAAAATTGGACCTGGGTTCGGTTGCACATGACCTGATACTAAAAATAAAAGTAGAGTCTTTTCCATTGACCATTTACATATGATACTGAGCCATTTTTCCTTGCCTGAGCAAGGTATTAAAGAGAAGATTCATCTAACACAAAATTGCTCCTTAAGACAGACAAACACATTAAATGGACAAAGTTATCTGTTGGCTTTTGATTAAAGTAGTGCCAGTGAGTAATAAAATCTGAAGGGGTCCAAATTGTCTGATCAAGGGTCATGGACCTGGAGTAATTCTTGAAGGAGTGAGCTAAATTGTTATACAAGTCCTCAGAAGACTTTGGAACATTTTCAAAGATGTAAACGCCTAAGAACAATATCAGACAGAGTCTCATTGTACTTATCTGACCAAAAGTCATGACCTCGCTTCACTTTTTCTTGGAATTCAGGAAATTTTGACAATGTAGCAAGCTGAGATGGTGTCTAGCAGGCAGAGATGATAGCTAGCTTGTAGAGACAATAGCTAGCAGGCAGTAGAGATGGTGGTGGCTCGCAGGCAGAGATGATGGTGGCTAGCAGGCAGAAACGATGGTGGCTAGCAGGCAGAAACGATGGTGGCTAGCAGGCAGAGACGATGACGTCTAGCAGGCAAAGACGATGTTGACTAGCAGGCAGAGACTGTTTCTCCAACTCTTTTACTCCTCCAGAGCAGCCGCTATGTTCCTGCAGTGGAACATCCTGAAGTTGCTCTACAGTTATCTATGATAAGAAGACGCTAATGTTAAGCCAAGCGACTGGCCAGATGTCCCTGAAATGTCCCAATCTAGAAAAACCCATACAAGAAAACATTCTGTAGACAGATGAAAACATGATTGTTCTGTTTTGGATGATGTTGAGAATTTTGTCCACCAACCCTAAACATGATTTAGTTTGAGAGTATGGTAGTAGTTGAAGAGAAGACATCCAGTTACTTTTTGTTCAAGACATACTGTTCTTAATATTGGTTATCCACTGCATGCTTCTCGCTGCTGGTGCACTGTTTTTTTTCTAAATGCACTGCAATGCCCAACTAATGTAATTTTTAAGCTGAAAAGTTGCTGGTTGTTGCATCTTTTCCTGACCAGTCTGGTTGGTGCTGCTGTATCTCACAAACACAGGGTGTTTGCTTCCAGTTAAGCCTTTCTTCTTGTTAGAAAATCTGCTGCTGCTACAGGAAGAAATGTTGTACTTTCTCTCTACCCGAGAGAACAGCTCAGACAATTAAAACCTGTCACTCTTTCTCTGTCTGCGGCCTTATTCAGCCCTCACATCCTCCAGGGAGGAAGAGGTTACCTTGTCACCTCACTTACAGCCTGCTCTGCACAAACTTGCAGGAAGTCATGGCAGCACTTCAGTCTGAGCTGTTCTCTCTGGAGGATTGCATCGATTGTTTTCCCTTTTTTTTTTTTTTTT